CTGGATGTTGTGGGGCTGTGTTGGCTGACACGGCTCTGCAATATCACGTGGACATCGGGGGCAGTCCCACTGGACTGGCAGACGGGGGTGGTGGTCCCCTTATTTAAAAAGGGGGACTGCAGGGTGTGTGCCAACACCAGGGGGATCACACTCCTGAGCCTTCCTGGTAAGGTCTATTCAGGGGTTCTGGAGAGGAGGGTCCATAAGATTGTTGAACATCAGATTCAGAGGAGCAATGTGATTTACGTCCTGGCCGTGGAACACTGGACCAGCTCTATACCCTTAGGGGGATCCTGGAGGGTGCGTGGGAATTTGCCCAACCAGTCTACATGTGTTTTGTGGATTTGGAGAAGGCATTTGACTGCATCCCGCAGGGGTCCCTGTGGGGGTACTCCAGGAGTATGGGGTACCAGGCCCTCTGATACGGACTGTTAGGTCCCTGTAAGACCGGTGTCAGAGCTTGGTCCGCATTGCCGGCAGTAAGTCGCACTCGTTCCCAGTGAGAGTTGGACTCTGCCAAGGCTGCCCTTTGTCATCGATTCTGTTCATAACCTTTATGGACAGGATTTCCAGGAGCAGCCAAGGTGTGGAGGGCATCCGTTTTGGTGGCCTGAGGATCAGGTCTCTGCGTTTTGCAGATGATGTGGTCCTTTTGGCTTCATCAGAACGTGATCTTCAGCTTTCGCTGGAGCGGTTTGCAGCCGAGTGTGAAGCAGCTGGGAGGAGAATCAGCTCCTCTAAATCCATGGTCTTGATTCGGAAAAGGGTGGAAAGCCTTCTCTGGGTCAGGGATTAGGTCCTGCCCCAAGTGGAGGACTTTAAATATCTCGGGGTCTTGTTCACGAGTGAGGGAAAGCTGGAGCGTAAGATCGATAGGCAAATTGGTGCTGCATCTGCAGTGATGCAGGCGTTGTACCGGTCTATCGTGGTGAAGAGAGAGCTGAGTCAGAAGGCGAAGCTCTTGATTTACCTGTCGATCTACGTTCCTACCCTTACCTATGGTCATGAGCTTTGGGTAGTGATCGAAAGAACGAGATCACTGATACAAGCGGCCGAAATAAGTTTTCTCCGAAGAGTGACTGGGCTCTCCCTTAGAAATAGGGTGAGAAGCTTGGTCATTCAGGAGGGGCTCGGCGTAGACCCGCTGCTCCTCCACATCGAGAGGAGCCAGTTGAGGTGGCTCGGGCATCTGGTCAGGATGCCTCCTGGATGCCTCCCTAGTGAAAATATCCGGGCACGTCCAACCGGAAGGAGACCTAAAGGTAGACCCAGGACATGGTGGAGGGACTTTGTCTCTCACCTGGCCAGGGAACGCCTTGGGATTTTCCCGGAGGAGCTGGCCCAAGTGGTTGGGGAGAGGGATGTCTGGGCCTCTTGTCTTTGGCTACTGCCCCCGCATCCCAACTCTGGATAAGCGGATGAAAATGGATGGTATTTTTATGTAAATTTGATCATTATTATTCTAACCCAAAAGCATAATCTAAAATTTGTATTTGGTTTGTTTGTTTTGTATTTGCTAATCCAAATTTAAAACATATTTTGCTGTATGAAACTAATTCACCATTTAAAAAAGCACAATTGTTCTCATTGCAGATGTATTCCATTCCCTTTTATTTATAAAGCACGTTTCTACACGGCCGAGGCCAACCAAAGCGCTGCACAGTAAAAGAGCATAAAAATCAACACACGGAAAGGAAGTAATAAAAGTAGTACAGTAACTACTATAAAATCAACAATAAACATACAACAAAGACATAGTACAATGCTAACTAGGCAAGAGGCGGTGGTCTGCTGACCGAAGAATTCGACCAGGTACGTAGAGCTGAACCAGCTGAGTCAAGTACAAGGGTGCATAAAGATAGAGTGGCTTAAAAACAAGGAGTAAAAATTTTAAGCTGGATGCGGTAGCGCACCGGGAGCCAGTACTAATGGTTCAGAACAGGAGTAATGTGCTCCTTCCGTCTGATCTCCATCAAAAGGCGGGCCGCTGCATTCTGCACCAGCTGTAGGCGCACAACTGAGGAAGACATGGATCCATAAAAAGGGAATTTGCATAATCCAAGTGCATGGATCACTGTGTGCAGGACGCATCTAGTCAGGATGCATAACTCATTAAGTCTTTGGCCTGCTATTTGCTCACATTTTCTTAACCCTCCCACTGTCTTTATGGGTGACCCTGCGAGGAAAGTTGACCATTGAGCAGGATTGATGGTTTATCCCTTGAGTTCCACATGGCAGGGGTGAGGTGGTGCTCACTCCTCACCCCTGCCACATGGACCCAAGGCATAAACCATCAACCCTGCTCAATGGTTAGCTTTCCTCATGGGGTCACACCCATTAGGACAGTGGGAGGGTTAAGCAAAAAAGCTCTCTCACAACTGTTTCAGGAACTAAAGATAGCCATGTAGACGGGAGCAGAACACAACAGGTTTTGGAGTTTTCCAGATATCCGGACATCTCGCCACTGATTAGATAACAGCAATGTGACTCTATCACTGACTCTGTTTGCTCTGCAGCACTGATAATTTATCCCCACAAATAACACAAGCCTGAAGGAGTTCTGCTGTTTTGTGGAGTTGCCAATGCTAACAGTTAGCTTCTTCCCCATCGCGAGTCAAGATGGGCGAATCCATGAAAGGTAATTTTATTTTCTAATCAGAGAGTTTCCCTGTCTCTCTTCTGTCAGTGGCTGATGCAGTCTGCATGTTAAACTCAGCGTGACACACCATCTTTCACAAATAACAAGTTAAAAATAAATAAATTCAATGGTTCTCAGTGTTTTGGGTCTTTAAATAAAATGTAGTGACTGAAACCAAATTATTTATTCATATAAGATTTTTCCATCTGCCCATATGTGCGTTATCTCTCCTCTCTCTTCTACTTTAGAAATATTTTCCAAAGTAGAGCATAATTATGTTTATATTTATTTATTTGGCAGACGCTTTTATCCAAAGCGACTTACAATTTATAACCTATAGGGCATGTTGTGATCTGTGGGGGAAAGCGGAGTACCCGGAGGAAACCCGCGCATGCATGGGGAGAACACACAACTCCACGCAGAAAGGCCGCAGACGACTTTCGAACCTGCAACCTTCGTGCTGCGAGGCAACAGTGCTAACCACTGCGCCACCATGCAGCCCAATTAAAAGATTCCAGGATCTAATATCTGTTTCTTTAATTTGCAATCAAACCCAAACCCATCACAGGGAAGTATAAAGACAAATGTGAACAGCAACCCCTCAGTCTGTCCACTACGCGTAAGCACCACATAATAATAGACACGTTTTACTCATGAGTGTCCTTCCCAGCGGGAGCTGTTCAGACGCAGAAAGGCAGTGAAAGGGTTCCACGCAGTGGGTCTCACAAGATCACAAATCCACAGAGCTGTAACGCCACATGTGATTTTGGCATTTTACACGATAACAAGAAAGGAGAAAGATGGCAGGATGTACAAAAGAGGTATGTGGTTTATTTTCTGTTCTGTTTACTGAAGTGCAGTAAATGGCGTCTCTTACTACTGGTAAAGGAACTGGACGGCACAAGACTTTTATTTTGAAAGCTTCTGGATGTTGTAAGCTGCTTTCATGTTTGACTTCCGGTCTGGCCTGATCTGAACTGCACAATTTGACGTGTTCTGCAAGTAGAGCTCGTAAAAAGTACCATACATTTGAAGCATAAGCGGTGCGTCCTTACGCTTATGGGACGCTTCGTAGCCGGTGGAAACGTGAACTGTGTTTTGCAGTCATTACGCGACACTTACACGTCTGGTGGAAAGGCACGGTCAGAGTCACACCTAGGGATAATCTACTGTAGTTGTCACTTCACCTAACAGGTATGACTTTGGCTTGGATATATTTTTGCTGCGAATCAAAGTTGCTACATTAATTTACAACTAGTGGCTGTGTGGGGGTGCAGCCGGTGGCAATGCTGCCTTGCAGAAAGATTGTTGTTCTGTACAGAGTTTGCCTGTTCTCCCCATGAATTCATGCAAAATAAATAAAATCTCCTGAAGTTTCCAGTTAGAAAACTAAATTAAAGACAATGTGCGGCATTATCTAGATATATAAATATATGTCAATAAATTGATACATTTATTCTTGTTACTTCCCGTTTTCTATTAACATTTAGATCCTACAACTGTAGGGAAGCCCAGGAGCAGAAAAATAATAAATCTCTGAGTCGAACTTTCAGCTTTAGCATTTATCCTGGAGATTTAAATGATTTCATTCACTTCACAAAGGCTGACATTTAAGGTGGATTGTTTTCTTGTGTTTAAGCTGACCTTGACGATCAGGCTTGACCGCGTGTTTTCTTTGAGCTTGGTGTGCTGCGTGCTGATGACTAGAATTCCCAGAGCATGCTAACTATACATGAGCTTGAATATTTTAGCAGTAAATATTGCATGTCCTAGTTCAGAGGATTACAAAAAAAAGAGCGAAAGAAAGAAGGTGAGCGAAAGAAAGAAGGTGAGCTCCAGCAGCAGATAACTGCTTGCGTTTTAATTAGATTTCATTTTTATTAAGATTTCCTTCCATTTTGTTGTGGGTGATTCAAGAAAATCTGTTTAAATAATCGTTATAATCCCTGACAGAAGTTTAGCATCTGCACATCCGGAGCCCAGCGTGACAGAAACGTATTCGTTCCTCCCTCGGTGTCATAAATGGGCTGCCTGACATGCTTAAGCTCAGCCAGCCTCACATCCTGACCTTCTTCCATCTTGACCCAGTTTCATGCCTTCCTTACTTTTCTCCACGCTCTTTATTAACCCTTTTCACTCTTGTTTGTGTCAGCCTTTTGTAACCCCCTGAAAGCTCTGACCTTCAGCTTTGTTTATAAGTTTCAGAGGCAAAAAGCTGCGAGGTTCTCTTCATTACGCCAAGCTCACTTTTTTTCACAGCGCAGGTAGAAAAAATATTCTAAGAAAAGTAGAGTTAATGCATTTGTCAGTCATTCTGAAACTGCAACAGAAGAAAAAGTATTTCATGAAGGTTAATGCATACCAGGATCTGACTTGGAGAAGGTGTCCACGTCCAGCAGGCTCCTGCAGAGAGAGAGAAAGAGAGAAATTACAGGTAAAAATGAATCCTTCCAGCCTTCTTCTCTATTGTGTTCATCCATTCACATTTTCCAATTTCCATTTGTGTCTCTTTTGTTCTTTGGTTTCTAAAAAGACTCGGCTAAGCTCCTGAAGTTAGGTCACGGGCAGACTTGAATGTATTCTGTGGAACCAACCATCAGAAAATTACACGCAAAGCGTTTCCATGGAAGGAAGGTCATGGCGGGTCAAATAAAACGGGCCCCAAGGAGGACATTCAGCAAGGCGATGATGGATTTTGTTTATTTGCTTTAGCAAAAGCTTTTCAGAGCTGTTTTAGGGTAGCCAGGTATCAGACTGCCTTTGTCAGCTTGATAAAATGTTCACTTTAATTAAACCAAATCAACTTCAAAACACTGTTACAGGTGTTTCCATTTGCAATTTTAAATTTTAGCTGATTGGGTTCTTGTTAAATATCACACAGTGACCTTTTAATAGTCTAGATAAGTGTAATGTTCCTGTTAGTAGTTCCTCCTGTGAAGTGCTAATTTATTTAAATTATTCAGGTTTATAAAATAACATTGACATTTTATTATATTCCAGTCATTAGTCATTTATATTTCACTATTGTAGTAATTCTTGCATGCTTTAATGAAAAAAGTAACTAAGTAGTTATTTTTCTTGGTAATTAGTTACTTTTATAATCGTGTAACTCAGTTAGTAACTGAGTTACTTTTTGACAAAGTAATCAGTAACTATAACCAATTACTTTTTAAAGTAACGTTCCCAACACTGCTCCCAACACAGGTTAAAGAGTCGGGGGGTCCTCAGGAAAAAAAAAGGTTGGGAACCACTGTTTTAGGGGCTGTGACGGTTTTACCATTAGGCATAGGTCGGCGGCCGCCTGGGGCACCTTTATGTTGGGGGGCCCTCTAGCCCTGACTGCTGGCACCCCTCTGTTAATGCCACAATGGACTATTCATTTAAGACACTGATGCACAAACAGGAAGTGATTGGTAGTCATTTCTCTCCAATCCAGTTGGTGGCAGTAATGCACCAAATTGCTGTTTGCCAAGTGCCATAAGAACACAAATAATAATAAGAGAGCGTTCATAACAAACTCAAAGCGGTAGTCAAATCATTGAGCATGAAATGGAGTTATCCTAATGGCTCCAATAAGAGAAAGAAGCAGCTTGCTTTAAAAAAAATTTATCTTCACTTCCGAAAGTGATGTTGTTTTTCTATGTAAACACCAAAGGAAGCAGAAAAGTGAAGACAATGGAAAATAGGGATGAGCCTAAAAAAAGCATTTTTGACGAGTACGAGCATGAAACGAGTAAAACTCGTAAAAATCTGTAATTGTGCTGAAGGAAAATCCTCATTGGGTAACTGACTGTCTTCACGCTCTGTGATTGGCCATTCACATAGATCGCCCGCCCCTCCCTACACACAAAACTCTCTAGCCGGCCGGAAGCGCAGTCCGTCATCCACGCGCACACACACAGACAGTAACGGATCTTGCTTCGATTGCTTCACTGTTGCTCACGTTTCTTCAGTTTTCTCTAGGTTTTCTTCAGCTCGCCTCTTTTTCGGTTGAATATTTAAAGTTACTTTTTCGTAACTTACCTGGTGCATTTGACAAGACAGAGCTGACGTGCTGCATCAGTCACTACCTCCGCTCCGGTCGGGTTTTTCATTTTTTTTTTTTTACTCCCTCTCTCTCCCTCTCACCCTTTCTATCTCTCTCAGACACACACGCCTCAATCCACATTGTTTTGTTTAACTTTGTGTGGGGCAAAATGCCAAGAACGTTAAGAAAAAATCAGTTTAATCAAATTAAAATTAAAAAATATAAATACAGTAAAGTTGTGTCTGGTTCTAGCATTTCATATTTCCTGGTTCCTACTGCATGAGTTCAGATGTATTAATCCATGCACTTCAATAATAATGTTCTGATTTTATTCAAACACTTGCTCTGAAATAGTTCCTTTACTATTGTGATCAAAATTCTGAGGTTGCTCTGTAAATAGTTTTCAAATGAACAATACACATAGCAACTTCTGATCATTTCATATCAATTTCAGACTTCAAATAATATATTGATGTAAACCATACCCACTTCCGGTTAAATCACGCCCACTTCCGGGGATATGCCACGCCCATTCCGAGTACAGATACAGATAATTTAGTTGATTGAACAGATACAGATACAGATAGTGGTGTACTCGCTCATCCCTAATGGAAAATGTTTAAAGTGAGTAAAACATTGACCAAAATGGAAAACAGAAGAAAAAAATGAAAGGCAAAAGCACAGGAGCACTGACAGGAAGAAGAAAGCAGAGCAAATATTGAAAGCGCTCAAAGGAAGAGAAAGACAGGAAAAAAGAGGAGGACTAATAAAAACTGAAACTAACTCATGTCAGAAGAGGGGAGAGTTTCACAAATCCAGTTAAAGATAAGATTGTCGAAAATTTAGTGTAAGGGGGCCCCATGTCTGTGTTCACCTTGGGCCTCCAAATTGCTAAATCCGCCACTGTTTGAGGGGATGCATTCCACCAACTGCCATATTTTTTAATTCTTACAAAAAAGGAGAAAAAGACTGTTGTTCTTGTATCCATTTGGGGCACATTTTGAAAATAGTAATTTTTTTATTACCGGGACAGAACACGTTAACAGCATTACCTCTGTAGTCACGCCCTGAGTTAGCTGAAGCTAGTTTTCATCTGTTGTCCTGAAGGCCAGTTTTATAATATCCAAACTGTTTAAAAACAATAAATAACAATATATGTAAAAATAGATTAAGATGGCCGTCATCAAATTTGGAACGACACAAAAGCAAAAGATGCAATGATATAAAAACCAAAACAGGGAAAAGCTGCCAGTTTGTGACACATAAAATGCTGAATAAAGTAAAACTGTGATACGTCCATAAAAGTCTAGCATTTGTAACATGGTGCAGTATCTAAAGACAGCAGAACCCACTGGGATTCATTTTAGCACGACAGCGTTTAGAACTTACTATATTGTTATGTCATTTGGCTGTGGTGGCCTTTTTGAACTGTAGTGGTTAAAAAAACCTCCACACTACAAGGTGCCCAGTGTAGGATGACTTTTAGCTACACAACACCAGATTTGTGCTCAATGTAAGGAAAACTCACCAAGTCAGAGCTGTTGTTAATTAGCTGTGGTGGCCATGTTGAATTTGGGTTGACTTCAAATGTTCATCAGTTAGATGTTTATCTAATGAAAAATCTGAGTTTCATTAAAATCCATCAAGAGTTGTGAGATAAATTAGCTAACACAGCAAAAGAACACACAGAGACACAGGCTAAAACAATATCAGCCACCTTTAGGCAGCAGGCAGCAGGCAGCAATGAACTGAATCAAACAAAATGAAAAAAAAGTAATATGAGCAAGAAGCCAATAAATTTGAGTAAACATGTAATAAAATAGAAAAAAATCATAGTTTTTAGGCTTCATCTGATTGTGTAACTGAAATATTACCAAAATGTCGCAGAAGAGGAGAAAGTTCATGTCAGTAAGGTTGAAACACAAACGGGAAGCATGAAGGTGCTCATTAAAGCTACAAAGGAGCTCAGCCCTACTAGAGATGTATTTGTGCAGCGCTGATGATGCACCAAGGGAGAAGTAACACTGAGATATCCAGTTAATGACTCAGTGTTCTTTTAAAATTTCAAAGGATTATCTGAGTCTATTTGAGGTTTCCTGAAGGAAATATGCTGCTTTAGCTTTGCATTTACTGTGCAGCTTTGTGAAAAGCAGCTTTGGCTGAGCTGAGATGGCTTCCTGGCATTGGTTTAGATTAGTTTCTGTTTTTGATGCAGGGAAATGGTGGCATGTGGACCAAATGGTGACATCTTTATGTTTACCTACATAAATCAGTGATTACTGAATACTTTTTGGCAGTTTGGAGTTTGGAAAATGCTACAAGGTTTGAACAAGGGTTGTAAAAGGTGAACACAAATTAAGCTCACTTCAAAATTATAAAAATAAAAAATAAATGTAATCAGCCAGTTCCTGTTTAGCAATCAAAACATGGTTTTCCAAAATGTCAGCTCTGCTAAAACTTAAGTAAGAAATGTAATCAGACCATTAAAAACATAAAGATCTGGGAACGGCCAGTTGATTTTCTGGTTGTTTATTTAGATAATAAAAAATTATGAAGCCTTGTTTTGCAGACATGTTTTGCTCCTGGTCTGAGTCATTTTATTTTGAGTATCTTCCGATATCGAGTCCTGATCCGATACTTTTAGGACAGCATTAACAAAAGAAGAAAAAAGGGAAACACAAAGTTTCACTTTCACTTGTTTAGGAATTGCATTTGTAAAAAATGTGTTAATATTATGAATATATTTAAAAGTAACAGAATTGTTCATGTTTCAAATTGCTTACATTATGCAGCCGTAATGAGCGATGCGCATCCGTGCCATGGCCGGCACTTTTCTCTACCCGCGTGTAGCTACCACAGGCAGCTCGACTGTGAAACCCAGACGCTTTGCAAGCCATCTGCTATTTATCTTTTTTTTTTTCTTAGCACATCTTTCACTCTCGGCTGCCTCTATGTTTTTGTCCGAGTTGCCGCAGTGAACTGGGACTTAATGGAGACCGATGGTCTGTTTTGACGATGCCTGAAAGGCATCAGCCGAAAGGGAAATTAGTTGGTTTTGAAGGCTGTGTACCACACAACTCTGTCTTTTCCAGCATGGTGAATGCCCAGTAGCACACATTAAAAGTGGCTGTTGCGCTGCCTTTACTGTCCGTTGTCGGTGCAGGATCTGCTCGGGTACAAGATCGGCTCGGGGTCCTTCGACTGCTGATGACGTCAAAGTAGCTGATTGGCTAAACATGAACCTTACGGAATTACGTAATCACGTGACGTTATCACGGTACATTGGTCCAGGCAAATTTTTCTGTTGGAAAGATGGACAACTTTTACAAAGAAATCCATCATTACCTCTTTGAAAATACACTTTTAGCATAGAGCT